TTTGCATTTAGTGATTCACTAGAAGTCTACAAAAATAGGTGCAATTATTCGGTCAAATGAAGAGGGACAGTAAGAAAGTTTTCATAAAGGAGATTAGATACTATGAGCTGGATATTGAGAAATAGGAAGAATTTTAGAGGGCAAAAGTGATAGAATCTAAAAGAGAGAGATAGAGAAGAAGAAGAAACAGCACAAAAGTAGTCTCCCAACATGAATGCACAATGAATGTGGGCTAGATGCTTGAAAAGGTCACTTGAGCTCAGAGTGGAGACAGTTATTGAGGAGACTGACCTCTGCCTTCAAGGTCACAAGGAGCCTTCACCTGAAAGGGAATTACATCCTCAATAACATGCTTCAAGGAAGTAAGAGATTCATAAAATTTCAACTTAAAAGTTGAAAAATTGTAAGAATAAAGGAAAAAGGTGTCATTAAAATTTTGTTTTAAGCTCTAGGGACACGCTAAATGATTGTGACCTTCTCCTATTTGAACTGAAAGAAAGAATATGTTTGTGAATAAAGATGACTATTTTGCTCCAGAACATAGTCACTGATGCATTGTGGGAAACACAAGGAAAGCATCTGAGTAAAAATTCAGCTTTGTTTCAGAAGACACTTCCTATTCTAAATTCAGTTTTTTGTTTGTTTGGTTTGGGGCTACTCTTGATTGTCCTCAGGGCTTACTCCTGGCTCTGTGCTCAGGGATCACTTCTAGCAGTGCTCACAGGGCCCCTATGTGGTGCTAAGAATGGAACCTCAGTCGGTACTATCTCCTACTATTAGAAATTCAGTTTATTAGCATTAAAACCTATGCATGTTGCACATGTTAATACATCTGTTCTATCTTTCTAACTTGTTTTCTAACAATTCAACATTATAAAGACACTGAAAAGTTCTGTTAATTTAGCTGTATGTGTGAAGATATATGCATAGTACAGGAGTCACTGATTTGGTGAAATTTGTTTTGGATTATGAGGAGTAAGTGAATATTTACCTGGAAGCTCTGTGCCTTGGTAGTGACTAGACTGAACCCAAGCTGTGAATTCAGATAGCAAAATAATGTGCTTGAAAATGTGGACTAAATGTGTTTTTAAAATCTTTATATCTACTAGGCATTAGCCTTTCTTGATGTGGGATATTTTTAATTCTTTCCATCGGAAGCTGTACTATTTTAGAAATTATTAAAGTTGAATCCATAAAGATAATTTTGTTAATAGTTGCCTACTTTTTTTTTATAAACTTGCAAGAGACAGCTATCAAAAATAAGATATGGTCAAATGGTTCATATTTTATCTCCATGTTTAGAAGTATTTATGAATTCTACATTTTCTGGGAAACTTAGTACCTATAGCATGTAGTATTAAAATTTCACTAATTTTAAGAACCTGCTACAAGAACCATAGCACAAAACTCTCATAATTAATCATAGTTATTTGAACACATATGCTAGCACATAATTCACCCTTTTTCCAAAGAGGCAAAGACACAACGAAATGTATCTTCAAGTGACTTACTACATGCCTAAAATGCTAATAAAATTAACGATCACGATCACGACCATCCTGTTGTTCATCAATTGCCTCGAGCAGGCCCCAGTAACGTCTCCTTCATCCTAGCCCTGGGATTTTTTTTAAAAAGTGCTATATTCAAGGCACTTTCAAGGTTAGGAGAATGAGACCCATCATTGTTACTGGTATTTGGCATATTGGGTATGCCACAGGGAGTTTGCCAGACTCTGCCGTGTGGGCAGGTTACATTCGGTAGCCTGCTGGTTTGTCCAAAGTAGGAATGAGATAATAAGATGTTGTGCAGCCGCAAATGCGGCTGCGCGCTTCTGGGAGCTGGATTTTATAGTCTTTGGGTCTTGGCCATTGATGGGATTACACGGCTTCCGGGGGCCAGTTGGTGGGTGTGACCCCTGCCTACTGGAATTTGGAGGATCTGGGTGGAGGATGCTCAGCCCTGATCCGAGCAGGCTTGGAGATCTCAGCCCCGGGAACCGCATGCCTTTGTCCCTCTGCCGGTACCTTCATGCGTGTGGAGAGTGGAGAGTTAATAAAATTAACATCACAAGTATATATATTCTCAAACTTAAAAATCACAATTGTCACTGACTGCATTTTCTTAGGAATAAAGTGATTCATAATTACCATATCGACCCATGAGAGACTAGTTAACCACATACCCTAATATGTTGCTAATGATCATGCAGTTTTTCTTCTTTGTATAGTCTGGATATCTGTTCTCATGTATGCATCCAATGGATGAGGGTTTAGCGTGCTCTGGGCCCCAGAAAGTAACCAGGGCACAGCATAACTTATTTCTAGCACCATCACTGCCATGTCCATTGATTTCAGGCACGGAGCTTCTTCCTTTCTTATCCACATTGTGGAGTGTCATCAATCCTTGGGACATTTCCCCCCACAAAATAAATTTGTGTTAGTGCATTTCTCCAGGGAGAAGTCTAAGGCCTACCAGTGCAAGATCTTGACTGTGAACAAGGAAACTCAATTTTATAAAACAAGATGAAAAAGGATTTTGTTAGAAGGGTTTGGGACTCAGAACACATGCTTGGACAATTAGATCACGCTGTAACTGACCCTCCTGCCTTCACATTGGAACTGTGTGCTGAGCTTGGTGTGGTTGGATGCTCATTCATTCTGTGCCTTCACATATGTTCTAAAGCACCCAAGTCAGGGGCTAGAGCCACAGCACAATGAATAGGGAGTTTGTCTTACATGCATCTGACCTGGATTTGATTCCCAGCATCCCATATGGTCTCCCAAGTACCACGTGGAGTAATTTCTGAGTGTAGAGCCAGAAGTGAAAAACAAAGAAACAAGTAAAAAAAGTAAAAAGAAACCCAAACCTGAACAAGGGACAAGAGTGGCTGGTTTCTTTCTTGCCAAAGAGCAGAGCTTGGGTAAAGGGAGCGTCACTGAGGGATAAAAATTTCTGCCACTTGCTGAATTTGGGATTGCCTCAAAGTAGAAATAAAGACTTGTTAAATGGCAGTCAGAGAATTTTATCCATCACCATTTTCTTTCACCTTACCACTTGTGCCTGCAAGGATTATGAATCACCACATTAGATTATCTTTAATTACATCTTGAAATTATATGATTTAAAATACTAATTTTTCTGTCTTCCATCATCTACCAACTCAGAACTTCTCTAACAAGCTACAAATGCAGCAACAGAATAACTAACAGCATTGGGGTCAGCCCTAAAGACTCTCACCATCATTTTAGTGGGTGTGTAATTATGATGCTTGCACTAATGACAGAGAGGAACAGATGTCTCAGGGGTATGACGCAGCTGAATTTCTGGCATACTAGTATCAGTTCCTTAGAAGAAAAGGAATTTGCTTTCTTATGCAGTCTCCTGGTATTGAGTTATGAGTCTATGCAGATGGAGTATGGTTACTGAATTTAAATCTGTTCCTTACAAAATGATTCTCCATGGAAAGCATCTTGGCTTCAATATGCCTCTGCTTCCTGTTTAGTAAAATGAGAGTAATAATGCTTGTCAACGCATGGCTTGATGACAACAGAATGATGTACTTCAAGGAACTGGAGTAGTAGACAGATCCTTATGGAAATAATGAAGAATGTTAGCATCATGATAACGGGTAAAGAATTCCCCAACTATGAACTGAATCCGTTCCAAAGACTCTCTGTACTTTGAAATCTTCAGTCATCATTATCAATTTAGGTCAGTGCTTTGGCACATGTTATGTAGTAAAATGAGCTCTAAGAACTATGAAATTGACTCCAAATTTATCATGAAAATATCACATTGAAAAGAACCTATAAGCTCTTTTTTCCTTATTTAGCAGATAGGAGCACTATAAAAGTATCCTTAATATTCATAGAATCCTACCATCAACATGATTGTTTTCCCATTGTAAATCATAGTGACTCAGATAATTTTTGTTTGTTTTGGGGTCACACCTGGTGATGCGCAGGGCTTACTCTGGACTCTGCACTCAGAATTAATTCCTGGAATTGCATGGAGGATTATATGAGATGCAGGGGATTGAACCTGGGTTGACTACATTCAAGGAAAGTGCACTACATGCTGTACCATCTCTCCAGCCTCAAATAATTTTATTTTAAATGCCAGAAAAAAAAATCTTTCGTCCTTCATGCCCTACTGAGGTCAGGAGTTGCCCCCCCTTGAGTGGCTCTCTGGCACGGCCATGGCTCCAGAGCACAGAAACCAATCTCATAAATATCTGACTCTCAGCAGAAATACTTCCAGGCTTAATATGTAAAGTACCAGAAATCCAAAATCGCGCGGCCACTATTGCAGTCGCACGACATCATTTGATTCTTATGACCAGCTGTAGAAAACAAATTATTTCACAATGCCTTTTCAGCATGTCTGATTTGGGGGTGTAAACTCTAAATAATAATGGTGCATCTTTTGTCGAAACAATGAATCTAATCAAAGTAGATAGAGTGTTAACTAGAATCCTTCGCCTCACAGGCATTGGGAGGGTTGGGACGGGGGTTTATTGGGGTTCTTCGTGGTGAAAAATAAGTATTAGTAAAGGGAAATGTGTTTGATATTTGCATGACCGAGACTTAAACCTGAAAGCTTTGTAACTTTTCCCACAGTGATTCAATAAAAAAAATTTGTAAGTCTAAAAAATAAATCTTTAAATGGAAACATGATAACGAACAATGCCAAAATATCTAAACTGGATTCAGTTTATTTAACAAAATTCTCTACCAGAGAATATAATAACTGATTTTTTCCTGCTAGGATGAATGAATCAAGGAGTAGCTTATTGCAGAAGAATGAACTGCACTAAGAATGATCACTTTAACCACTACCCTCTGGTATATGTGTTTGACCTTCAGCTGACTGTAGAGCTGTTAGGAGTTGTTTGTTGAACTATTATCAGGCATAGCTCAGACCTGACCCAGGAGGTTTGGCTTTAATAGAATGCCTGTTCCTGTTGAAAGCCTGTGACTCGATCCCATTGTATGTTGCAGGTAAGTGTGAATGTGGCAGATGCACTTGCTACCCACCGGGAGATCACAGGGTGTACGGCAAGACCTGTGAGTGTGATGATCGGCGCTGTGAGGACCTGGAGGGCGTGGTGTGTGGAGGTGAGCTCTTCCTTCTGCTTTTGTAATTTACATGCACTTCGCTTTATGTACCCCCATCCTGAATCCCTCCATCCTTCAAAAATGTTTATGTTCAAAAGGGGAAAAAAGCAAAAAATCACGTAGAGTTTGAACAGCTATATGCAATTAGGTCTGTCCTATGCAATTGCATTTTTATTTCTTCAGCTATGGATTTGAGCTTTGGGAAGTTCATTGACACTGTCTGTCCCTATAAGATTCTAAGACTAAGTTCTAAGAATATAAACTTTGTGACAACTGAATTGTTTGGGAGAATTTTCATTACCTGTCACTGTCACTGTCCTCCTGTTGTTCATCGATTTGCTCGAGCGGGCCCAGTAACGTCTCCATTTTTGAAACTTGTTGTTACTGTGTTTTGGCATATTGAATATGTCACGGGTAGCTTGCCAAGCTTTGCTGTGAGGGCGAGATACTCTCGGTAGCTTGCTGGGCTCTCATTACCACACCCTTGAAAACTGACACAGGGAGCAGAAAAAGAGAGATAGTATAGGGATGAAGGCACTTGCCTTGCATGCAGCAGACCTGGGACTTTATTCCTGACACCTCATATGGTCCCTCAAACACTGGCAGAAGTGACTCCTGAGCCCAGAGCCAGAAGCCCTCAGCACCACTGGATTTGGCCCCAAAACAAAAACTAAGCAAAAATGAAAATCTGATGGAAAACAAAGAATTTCTACAAACTTGAAAAAAAATAGCAGTAAGGATGGAGGCTAGTTTGAATGATAGAAACCATTGTTGGTACAGTTGTGATGGTGCTGGGACCCAAAGAAAGAGCTTATTGAGAGTAATGAACTATGCAGAGAGAGGATGAGGCAGACGAGAGAGTCAACCAAGGTAACAGCAGAGAGGACAGTCCCAGAGGTAGAAGGCAGACAGTCGCTATTCCAGCCTCTTCCTGGAGAGAAAACTAGGTTGAGATGAAACTTGTTTCAGTCTTGGGAGACTTCAGATTGTGGGAAGCTATGAGCTCAGTATAGTTTCTTCCACATCCCAATATAGTTTTACGTGAGCTCAGTGTGAATGCCTACCAAAATAATAAAAGCATGTTACTTTAAGAGAATGATCATAAAGCCAGAATTGATTGGGGTGAGCAAAGTACCTACATTCAGCTTATAGTAAGGCTGGACCATCATCGTTTTCCCCCCAACATGGTCTACAATATGTCTTTCTGTTTGTTTGGGGGAGAACACCTGGCGATGCTCAGGGGGTCCTCCTAGGTCTGTACTCAGGAATTACTTCTGCCAGTGCTCTAAAGACCATATGTGATGCTAGGGATCAAACCTGGGTCTGCAGCATGCAAAGCAAGCACCCTACCCACTCTCCTCTCTCTCTAGTCCTGACAATACTCTTAATGGTTTCAGGTACACAATGTTCTAACACAACAATCTCCACCAGAATGCTTCCCCCCTTAACTGACCTTTCCACCCCCAACACCCCATTATGGTCAGCTCAATTCTGTAGGCCAATCATCAGATCCTGTTGCCTCTGGCCACTTGACTTATCATCTAACACCCACACACTCTAACTTTCTATTCGCTCTTGAACCAGCTACAAGCTGGTTTTTTTTTTTCATTTGATCAATACCATGCCCTTCTTTCCATCCGCCGTGAGCCCAGGGAAAAGGCTCTCCTTAATAACCGTTGTGTCCTGTGGCTTCTCTCACTCCCTCCTCCTGGTGATAACCCTAGGAGACTGCTCAGCCTCTCTCTGCCTTCACAAATGGGAAAGTGAGGGGAAGGCTGGAGGCGTTAATGTCTCCTCACTGAAAGTGGCAGATCCATGATTTTGGCTGTGACATTCAATTCACAGATCTGCATTTTACAGCTTTTCCCCAGAGTGACATCAAAGTGTTTTTGATTTTATCTCAACGATACTCTTAGTTTATTTCCTTCCTTTCCTCTCTGGTGGAAATATCTAAACTCACTAGAAATATCTAAACTCATCACTATAATTTTTTGTTAGATATAGTAACTGATTTCTAGTCCATCGCCTTAACCACTTGGCCATGGGCTGGAGTGGTAGCACAGCGGTACAGCGTTTGCCTTGCACGCAGCCAACATGGTCGACACGAGTTCGATTCCTCCGCCCCTCTCGGAGATCCTGGCAAGCTACCGAGAGTATCTTGCCTGATCGGCAGAGCCTGGCAAGCTTCCCATGACGTATTCAATATGCCAAACACAGTAACAACGAAGTCTCCAATGGAGACGTTACTGGACCCGCTCGAGCAAATCGATGAACAACGGGAGGACAGTGACAGTGACAGATAGTAACTGATTAAATATAGAATCTCTCTCTCTCTCTTTCTCTCTCTCTCTCTCTCTCTTACACACACACACATCCCTGTGCTTGTTCTATGCCTGGAACATAGAAAGTGCTATTTATACATCTCTAATTTTACACCATAGTGATTTTCCTTCTGATAAGAGTATCTGTCTTCTTGTCCAACGTATAATGGTAATGGTTGAGATATATATATATACATATATATATGGTTTCTGTACATATACATATATATGTACATATCTGTATAGCTCTTACTTTGAGTGAATCTCCTGATGGAAAAGATGTATTATTCTCTCCAAATTTAGGAAGGGAATCAAAGATAAAAGCATATTGTAACTCTCTCTGTTCAATAAGCTCAAACATTAACTGAGGAAGTGTGACAATCCTACATAAAGTTCAATTTTTTACTATTTTTTCACTCTGCATGTCTAAAATTTGACTTTTGTTCTTCTACTGGGAGTCATCTCTGATTTGAGTTGGGGGTGGGGGCATTAACTTCCATTAACCAAACTGGAAGAAAATGACTAAATCAAAAAACCAGTTGCTTCCCTTACAAGAAGAAATTTGATAATATACACTGACACATTGTCTTTAATACACAAGTGAATAAAAATATAATATCAAGGCTAAAACTCTTTGTAGAGAAACTCTTGGAGTTCAAGTAGAGATAGTATTTGCATGCAAGAAATTCACTAGGAAGATGAAGGGGATACTGATAGAGGTATGGGGAAGTGAAGCAAGGAAGGGAAGACAGATGGTGTGCTGCTGGAAAGACAGTGAAGCAGGTAGAGTTATTGCTGTACTGAACCTGGGTGCCGTTCCTGGCTCCCACTCTGGTCCCCTGCGCACTGCCAGGAGTAAATCCTGAGAGCAGAGCTAGGAGTAACGCTTAAACATTGCTGGGTATGGCCCCCAAACCAAACCAAACCAAAAAAGACACACCAGTGGTGAAGTGGTGTTTAACTATATATGTGACCCAAAGAACTAACAAAATTGAAAGTTTCTGATCAAAACTAGAATAACAAAACTTGGAAATGTGCCTGTTAAGGGGCCGTGCTGGAGGAAAACTGGGGACATTGCTGGAGAGAAGTTGACACTGGTGAAAATTGTATATATCAGGAACTCAACTTTGTAAATTATGGTGCTAAACTAAACAAACAAACAAACACCCCCAAACCAAGTAAAGTAGTAAAGGCCCTCCCATTGATCATTGATTTGCTCGAGCGGGCCCAGTAACGTCTCCATTGGAGACTTTGTTGTTACTGTGTCTGGCATACCGAATACGTCACGGAGAGCTTGCCAGGCCCTGCCATGCAGGCGAGATACTCTGGATAGCTTGCCAGGCTCTCCGAGAGGGGCGGAGGAATCGAACTCAGGTTGGCCATGTTGGCTGCGTGCAAGGCAAATGCCTTACCGCTGTGCTATCGCTCCAGCCCACCCCAAAACCAAACAAACAAAAAACCAAAAACACAAACATGTAAAACTTGTATTAGCAATCCAGTTATTGCTGAGTTAGCCAGTGCTTTTTTCCAGTTCAAGAGGTGAAGCACTTGAAACCTGTGCAAACCACAGGTCTCTTAGATTCCCATCACTCATCATTGGGGACTCCTTCTAGTCGTCCTGCCACCTACATATCCTGTCCAGTAGACCTTCCAGATGCAGAATTGTTAGCTGGAAACAACCTTCAAGCAGAGAGCATCAGGTGATAACCAGGTGATAGAAATAACAAAAACGCTTAAGAAGAAGTTGGTGCATTGTGACCACAGCTCTGAAACATCCCCACAACTCTCATGTCAGATGGTCTAAGTAACTCCTCTGAATAGTGAGGAAACACTAAACGGAGGATGGGGAAGAATACCAGGGACATTGGTAGTGGAGAATATGCACTGGTGGAGGGATGGGTGTTCAAACGTTGTATGACTGAAACTCAAACATGAAAGTTTTGTAACTATAGCTAAAGGTGATTCAGTTTTTAAAAGAAAGTAAAATAATAATAATAATAATGGGTTAACATCACCATGATGTTGTGGACCATCCACCATCCAGGAAAATCACAGTTTATCTATTATAATCCAATTTATATAGGAGATAACACAATACTGGACAGTAACTGGGGACACGAGAAGTCACCTTATCCTCCTGCAGAGTATTGGCTTCACTTACATGGAAGACAGACAAAAAGAGGATCTTGGAGATAGGTTGGAGAAAGTATTCTGAAGCACATGAATAGCAGGCTAGCACATTTTACTTTGTTACTACAATCAAACCATTTGTTAACTTCAGTTCCCTGGGAACATTGGACCATTGTATATGCCAGTATTACTGGAAGATACTGTTACTGGTTATAATGATCCATAATTGATACATTTCAACTAGATTAGGGCCAAATATATAGTGTCAAGGTTAAGGTGTTTTGTATGCAGCGGATCTAGTTTCTATCCCTGGTACCAATCACTGCTTGGGCATATGAGTGCCCCTGAAATGATCCCTGAGAACAGAACCAGCAATAACCCATAAGAACTGCAAGGAGTGATCCATCCAGCCTTCCTGCCAATAGAAAAAAATTAATTCAACTAGATTGGAAAGGATTATGAATGAGGTTATATTTTTGCTTTACAACAAACAAACATTACTTTGTCGATAGATATGTCCCTTTCAGTGGTTTCTAGAAGCTATATTTA